TCACTCACTTTCCCTCTACACACTCCAAAGAAAGCTCCACCCACTTTATCGGCCGATCCAATCTTCTCATAATAAGCACTCATTACCTAAAAACACATACATGTACATCACATGATCGTCATGTGACTAGTATTAATTAGACTTACAGAATTAAATTCATTTTTAAACTTTGGTTCTTTGAATATTTGCTTATGTTGCTCCATTCTCATGAATATGCTGCTTTGCTACATGTATGTGTACATGTATGACATCATCATTGACCAATCAAATTGCAACATTCTTACTTCCTTCCAGTGGGTGACAAGGGTTTCCATGACAACGTACGAGGGAAAAAAGACCAATACTCCATCCGGTATGATTCTAAAAAAATTAACTAAAAATATAAAAATTAATAATCAAAAATTTAGGAGTAATTTTTTCTTTGACATGTATACATGTACATTATACCTAATGTGTTGCCTAGACTATCCATGTAAGCCGGTGTAAATCTAAAAAAAATTGTTTTAAATAAACAATAATTCCCTTTCTCCCCTCTCTCTCTCTCTTGCCTAGTTTGGTAAGACGAGTTTAAGTTAACACTATCTGGTCCTTTGGAGACCACACCCACCCACACTTGATCCTGCCCAATGACATGAGAACCCTGTAGACTCACAGGAAACTCCCTAATAATGATAAATATATATTTTTTAAAAAGAAGATTGAGTAGGATAGTAGATGTATCTATACGACTATACATGTACACTATATAGTACACAGTCTTTGGCTAAATTTCACCAAAAATGAAAAAGAGAGAATTTTCCATTTTTATAATGTTTTGTGATAAATATACATGTACTTATGTCATGTAGAAAGTTAAAGCAGATTTCGATCAAAATTATTTTTTAATGAATTTTTAAAGTTACTCCAAAATCGGGCCAAAGTTATAGTACACAGCCTTTGGCCGAATTTTGCCAAAAATGAAAAGGAGAGAATTTTCCATTTTTATAATTCTTTCTAATACACATACATGTACTTATGTTGTGTAGAAAGTTTGAGCTGATTCCGATCAAAATTAGATTTTTTACAAATTTTTAAGTTGCTCCAAAATCTGGCCAAAGTCTCTAACCCATAGTTTTTTCTTTAAAATGGCTCCAAAATCATCGCAAATTTTTATTACATTTTCTGATATATTAATGTCCTTATGCTATGTAGAAAGTTTGAGACAAATATTTGAGCTCTAAATTTTTTAAAAAGATCCAATTTTGCTTGCCAAGAATTGGAAGAGATTGCCTGGTTCCTAGAAGTTAGGGGCAGCAAATGTTGTCTTGATCAATAGATATTGTTAATACACTGTACAAAAACTTTTACTGATTACTAATGATGTTGACAAAAACACACGATTAAATTTATCAATTGTAATTATACAAAAACTTTTTCTTTGCATTAACATTATCTCCCCCAATGTAAATTTCGTCCCTACTCCACTGCATGCATTATTATTATATTAGACCTGCAGTAGCATTACTAAGTAGGGTTCACCCCACTTCAAAATGGCTGCCATGACTTTGAAGCATTGCTACACTGGGAAAACAAGCTCCTATGCTTACTGGCTTCTTTAAGGATTCACCAGTGCAACTTAAAACCATGTTTATGAAGCAAAGTCAAAAATGAGCAAAACTGCCTTGTTTTGCTCAGCTACTTGCAATGTAGAGTAAAATTTGTATCACAAGACTAGGATTGTCATTGGTAATGTATGGACAGTCAGTGATTCAAAATCATTCTGAATGACTGACTATCTATACTAACGACAATCCTGATGCAAATTCTAAACTACATTGTAACAGGTGACCATTAATCATTAATAATAAATGCAATGTAAAGTAAAATTGGTTAGTTGGAGAGCTGATCTATGCATGTACTATAGTATTACCATACATTGTATTTCTTTAAATAAAAGCCCGGGTATCTATTTCTTATAATGGCATTTGAACCTTGAAAAAAATTTTTTAAATAAAATAGAACTTTAGCTAATAGCTAGATTCGAACCAGGGACCTCGCGCACAAGACTTCAGGAAGCCTAAGGAAGTATCTACAAGGCATCCATTATATTTTAAGGTTAGATTTGCATATTTATTGTTCAATTTTATTGCAATCCCTGAGTTTATTCGTACCAGGCTTTTATTAGAGGATATACAGTATAGGACAATATACTGGCTCATGTTCTATCTACTCATATAAATCAATTCAACTTGATACTCAGTATTATTATAAGTACAATTGTAGTCTTTTCTTTTTCCCATAGTAAAGTAAGTTTGTTTTTTAAAATTGTCAGTGCTTTTGGGAAAATAACCTATTACTAATAAACATGTATCAA